CCTGATAGGGGTTAGCAATGTATGATGCATTCTACACTATCACCTGATAGGGGTTAGCAATGTATGATGCATTCTACACTATCACCTGATAGGGGTTAGCAATTTGTTGTTAGGACATTTTGCATTGTATAGCTATTTCAAAAAAGGTTGTYGGATAAAATAGTGAATTTCAATGGTCGAATGGCGATTGCACAACCAAAAGTAGCCATGGATTTTGCTTAGTGAAGTGAAATAATTACAACTGATTTGTACTGTAAGATGTTCTGTAAGTGGTAAACATTGGCTCCATTTAGTCTCCATTTCAATGTAATGTGAATCCAATAGGTGAAATTTTGTTTATCAAAACAGTGTAAACATAGTAGTCCCTTTCGGTCTTGCAATCTCCCTTCACCAATCACCATTCGCCTTTCTTCCTGACAACGTTTTTTGAAATAGCTGTACATGGACCATACAACAAATTAAAGATTGACATCTTGGACTTTGAAAAATTGATAAAACAACAACAACAGCAACAACAAAAYGTTACAATCATCGTCACCATTGTATTCATCTTAATAAATGATGCAGCTATAGTCTGTGCTTAACTTGCAGAATAAGCAGTTGGAAGAATAATAGTGGACATTATTTTACCTTTGGATTTCTGGTAACATCTGACTTTGAATCTTTAAAAAACAAGTTACAACAACAGAACAATCATTTGATACAAATCAAAATTAAAAAATAGTGATGGACATGCAAACTTGTGCAAGTGAATGTGTGCAATGCTAGAATTAACAGAGTATGGTTATAGAACAACTGCTTCCCACTTAAACATTTTTTTTGAACCAAATGTCATGACATTTTCTATTTGCTTTTTTTCATATTTTACACGTACTTGGGAAATCGTTGTCATATAGAAAATAGCACATTTGTATTTTAGTAGAAAGGAATAAATTAAAAAGACAAAAGAAAATCACTGAGGCTGAACGCTTTCTTTTGTCTTGTTTCAATTTATTCCTTTTTACTAAATTCAAATTGCCTATTTTCTATGACAACGTTTCTGCAAGTAGTTGTATGTACATGTTGTATTAAAGTCAAAAGCACTATCTTTCATTAAATAACAAACCTGCATCTTCAAGGAAAGGATTTAAACTGTCTTCTTTAAAAGGATTGAAGCTGTCGTCACTATCATTCATAAAAGGGTTTAGCAGATCAATGCTTGTCACTGATTTCTTTTTTTGGACTGGAGGTGTTTCTGGTGCAGCAGTCACATGCACTTCCTGTTCTAATTTCAGCTTGAAATTCTTTTTGCTATCTTCAATATTTGACAACCATTCAGTCTATATTAAACAATACTTAAATTAATAAAACATTGACAATTACGAGCTTTGAACATGGTAATTTCAAAATTCTAAAAAAGTGGTATTTGAGAGCTGCAATCCAACAATAAACARCATGTTTTTCAATACAGTACCTTGAGCTGAGAGTTTTCAGTTTGGTAGATATGTGTTTCAGGAAACAACAGGATTTTGAATGCATCTTTTACACCTAAACATTATTATTTTATCAGTAAGGCTTAATAAATTCAAACATGTTGAAGTTGAAACTGAGATTCAACTAAATAATCATCATCTGGAAATATATRAAAGCGTTTCATCAACAAGTCTTCTTAAATTCAAAATTGATTATTCAATAATGAATCAATAGTCTTCTATACACTGTTCCCTTCTCCTACAATCTTGAAAGAGAACAATTATGCTTTTGCATCAAATGCAAAASAACTATTGAGTTTGTAGCCTCTTCTAACAGCCTTCTGGTTTCGTCAAATTTCCTCCACAAGAAACTGGAACTTGCAGCTGATAGAAGAGACTAGGTATCAGTTACCTTCAGAGTTCTTGACATTGACCACAGCAATATTCTCCAGTTCAAACAATGATTGGAATTTGTACCTAACTGGACCACGCCTATAAAAGAAAGATAATCATGCGAAAAAATAGTCTAAGATTACTTTTTGATAATCATCTAATTATACTGTACTTAGAATTTTTAGTGTTGCAAGTCAATGATATATAGCAAGGGATGTAGATAGCTGTATCTATGATTGTAAGAACTTTTCCTTCTTTGTAAAAAGAGGCAAATACTCCTGCTCTAGTTAATAAAGGAATTCAATTCTGAGCAAAAAAATACAGGTGATTGAGTAATCTGTTTTGTCTTTTTAATACATCTGTCTTCCTTATTTAAGTCTAATGTCACCTGCTCCCAGTCTGACATTGTATCTCAGCTGGTAGAGCATAAGTAATACAACTCCCAAGCAAGGTCATGGCTTCAAATCCCAGTGAGGTTAAAAATTAATTTTTCCAGATTAAGTGTCCCTGGAGTAACCTTTTTCTCTAGCACTATTAATTTCTAATATTTTCATATATATTTACTATAAAAAAATCTGCAATACAAACCTGTTGGGGATGGAGCTGGCAATAACCATGCAATCATGAAGGAGAAAAGCATGGAATTTTTGTTTGGGTTGAAAGGTATGCGTGTCAATTTCAACAAGACTTCCTTCATAGATGCACTGAAGGTCGGTAATATCTAGAATACTCTGTGATTAAAATACAAATTATCTCAATAAAATTACAGCCCTTATTGAAATTACATTCATCATGCCTCACATCTGATGTTGGCCGACTATCAATAAAGTCATTAAGCTAGTCATCTTGCCCCCTATATATTTTTAATTTATAACTAAGTCAGTACTGGTCCTTTGCTTATTTTATTGTATTGAAATGGCCATCGGATGATAAAATCAAATCAGATTGGCTGTTCAACAAACTATTCTGTAACTCCTATATATTTGACCTTGGACTTTTTGCCTTTGAAGTTAGTAAATACCATATTCTTGTGAATAAAAATTCATTTAAAATTTAATATATTTGCTATACGGGAATGTTCCACTGGCCAGGGTATGGTTTTTGGCCTTGCTGTCTTAAACAGGGTATACATTTCACCCGAAATTGTCTTAAACAGGCTCTACAATTTAGATAAAAGACAGATATAATTTTTTTGTGTGTCTTGGACAGGGTAATATTTTCATAAAGAACACCGTAGAAATAGTAGAAATACCGTTTTACTGTCCCAGGATTCATATCAAACTTATTGCCATACATCGGGTGACATTTGCTTAGATGTCTTAGATTAGATCTTTTGATATGTTATAAATGAAGAGGHCAAAAAAGAGCACAAATATGGCATTTTTTAAAAGAATATATAGGTTATTTACAAATAACCTATAGAATATATTGGTCATTACAAAAGCAAAAAGCTTTAAAAAATATCTCGGATTTTGCTTTCTGAAACCCAGGAACTCTTCAACAATAACTTTTACTTCAATTATAGCCTTCATAAGAATAATCAAAACCACAGGCATAAATCGCTCAAAATTGAAGGAAATGGCCTGAAACTTCACAGAAATGTAAAGAAAAACACAAGACACAGGTAGAGATGTTTATTTTTGTTATATTTTAAATATACAAGTATTATAAAATTAAATATAAAAGTACACAAATCCCTATCTTGGGCTACCTGTGATCGCCTGGCTATTTTGATGCTCAATTCAAACTCTTTAAATGTGAAAATACATACTTGGATTTTCAAATTTTCTCATGAAGAATACACAGAAAGGTCACATATATATTTTATTTCATAAATTTGATGGTAGGTTTTTCGTTAACTAAATAAGTTATGCAGGAGGACCACTATTTTGGAGCAAGCCGTGTTCCAAACATGGATAGCCAGTCTATTTTGATGCTCAACTACAACTTACTCTTCAAAGGCGAAAATACATACAAATTAGATTTTCAAATTTTCTCACGAAGAATACACAGAAAGGCCATATATATATAATATACACCCTTTTAATAAGTCCCGAGGTATTACGTTCTCCGCACTTGACGTCAAATTTATTCTTTTCAATTCCTTTTGTATTGTAAAAATTTCAAAAGAATAAATTTGACGTCAAGTGCGGAGAACACAATACCTCGGGACTTATTAAAAGGGTGTATATATTTTTATTTGTTAGATTCGATGGTAGGTTTTTAGGATTGTAATATCATAGGTTTTTAGGAATGCAATATCATTGCATTTCTTCAAAACGTTTTGAAATCTGGTCTCTTTTCATCAAATTTGACACTTTATACGGACTGTCAGGTTACGCTTGAATGATCACGGACTTTTTGTCACCATTAAGTTTGATATGACGTGCTATCAAAAACTTCTTATTGTCTCTGATGGATGTCAGTTTAATAATGTTGGATTTTTTATGGTTGCGGTGTAGATAGATTCCTTATTTTTCTGATTTGTCTTGAACAGGGTATGGATTTTTACTTTCTAGTGTCTTAAACAGGGTCAGATTTTTAGACCGCTGGCGGCACGYACCTATCCCAAACGGGGTTGAGTACCCCCCTCCCCCCCTGGGGAATTTTCAACAATTTTACTGCTACAGTATCCACAGATTGCCTAAAATAAAAATCTGTCAATTTTGGTTCAAGAGTTTCCTGCTCACAAACACCAATATGAGATGATTAACACGACTGTTAATTATATTTTTAATACATGACTTGACAAAAATTATGCTACAGCCCTACACAAACTTACTGAAAGCCCTTCCACTGCTTCTATGGAACTGCTGGCTTTTTCTTCCTTCTTTAGTGGCTTGTTAGTTGAGTTCATGTCTTGATTGGAGATAAATATTGTAATATTGAATGTTATAAACAAAATTTAAACATCAAAGATTTTGCTGAAGATGACTTCATTCAACAAGACATGCCAAAAGTAAACATTGTGATATGATCATGGATGAAAAACTGAAAACATTGTAAAGTTATAAATAAAAGCAATAACTCTATGGTGTTTCAATTTTACAATAAGTATCATGTTTCATATCAATGATAATTAAGTTATTTTCAGAGTTGTTGTTATTTAAAATATATTAGGTTGCATATATAGTAGCACACCATCGTCATATTATTATCTGAACAGAGAAAAGCATGCAAAGATGGTAGATCAAATGCAAAATTCAGATTTTTGATGAATGGAGCTAAATGGCACCAAGTACGATGGTCCGTTGCTATGGACTTTCCTCCCTGAAGTCATTCTAAGATTTTGTTTTACCTCAAAATTTAGTCAGTCAAGTTGTAAACGAGGCAAAACTTCCGTAGATGTAGAATAGAACAAAAATATAGAATTACTCTTCATTGTACAACTAGTATTGCTAACATTGCCATAAATAACTAATGTTAATCCTGAAAATTCCATGTAAATCAGATAAAACGGTAAAAAGTTACAACAAAATTGAAAAATTCAAATTTCCCGCCAAATGACCATATATGGTCAAAAAAGAAGCGAATTAAACGCCCACAGGATAAAATGTATAAAAATGTACTGTTACCATAGGAGATGGAGTCAATTTGTAGTTTTTTGTATTTGGGACTGTATGCTTATTTTTCCTCTTTCGTCAAGAAATACGTCATTGTGACGTGTTTTGACAACATTATGACGTACTTAATGACGAAAAACGCAAAATAAGCATATAGTCCCAAATACAAAAAACTACAATTTTGACTCCATGCACTATGGTTCACTATGGTCATTTGGGAGGAAATTTGAATATAATCTATTATTTTGATTATTTTTAACTCCACAACCATTTAACCGATTTATATGGGGTTTTCACCAAAATATGTAGAATAAKCAACTTGATATTACTGTATTTTCTTTGGCCTTGTTTTATAAATGGTAATGCAGCAAACAATTATAACGTAATTAATGACGTCACAATTGTAGTCACATGACCAATTTTACTATGCTCACATACTATGCACCTGCCAAGTTTCGTTTTAATTGATTAAATCTTTGTTAAAACTACGACCTTCYGCAAGGAAAATCCATAGCAACAGACCATCATGAAGTGATAGCATAGATGTAGCTGCATGTCATAGTGTTGTCAAATTTATAGCATTTGATTTCAGTGAGTAAAGGAGTTGCACATTACATAATTATGAAACTTGTATAATGTTTCAATAGCAGTGCTATAATCACACTTGTGTAGCTGATTTCAGACAATAACTCAGTCGAAGAATGGCATATTTTGAGACTTCAAATAACTATTTAATTTTATATAATAAATAAAATATATATGCTTACTTTGTTTACCAAACAGTGACAGTTCTTGCTGGGCAGACAATAGGGCTCTTTGTTCAGCCAGTAAATGACTTAATTGGTACATTTCAGCTTCAAGGTCTAATGAATTGTTAAAGAATAACAGAAACTCCAAAAACATATTCTCATAGTTGGATTTCTTGGTTTTCTTAACGATGAAATATGACAGTACCTTAATATACCAATTGATGTAACAGATAACTGTACTTTGCCTGGCTATTGAACAGTAGATTTCTCCAAACTGCATTACTAAATTATTATAATCTAGAACTATTCAAATATACTTTTGCTAGTGGGATGAGGTTTTTTTTAGTGGATTTATTTTCTCAAAGGAATAAAGATGCTTGAGTCCATGAAGTACTTTGTATGAAATTGAACAAAACTGAATGATCAGTGTCTTAAGTATTACTAGACATGCATTTTGCATTACAAAATGTGCCCATTCTATTCATAGTTCCGACAAATCAAACTCGTTATCCGCGCGCGCTGGATTGACCAATCAAAATAATGGACACGTAATGGCAGCCATGTTGTCCCACAAAAAATGTAAGCAAGTCGGTTCGGAGGGTGAAGTTGAGATGGTTTTGAGATGTTGCTGGGGCACTTGTAAAGCAGATGAGCGCTAGCCAGCCAGATGAAATGGAGGACGATTTATTTTGATTCCCAGACAAAAACTAGCCTAGAAAAATGCTTGAATTGGATCAAAATGTATGGAAAAAGCACGAAGTGCTCAAAGTAAAATTCATGAAAAATAATTAAATCATTTCTCTAGGCCTTATTCTAATTGTATTTAACAAAAGAAACAGAAAATTTATCGGAAATTCTATCGACAAATCGTCCGAAGAATGTCATTAACAAAAATTCGAAAGCATTTGTGGGTCATTTGTGGGACAAGCGCAAGCGTTCGATTCCTGTGCTTTCTTCTGATTGGATAATCGCACGCTTGCGCTTGATTTGTCGGATCTATGAATTGCTCTCCATCTCTCATCGTGCTTGTATATAGAAGATATAGATACACAAGCACTAGTATTATGTTCATATGAAATGGTAGAACACATGCTGCAAACCATGTCTTCAAAATCTGACATAAACATGTTCATTTGCAAATGATAGCACATTTTATCACTCAAAAATAAAGAAAAGTAATAATAAAAACAAATAAATTTTAAAACAAAAATTAGACCTACAATAAGCTGTAAGAATCATCAAAATTTATCACAACTGATGGCAAATGCATCCATCCTTCCATTCTGTTTAAACTGCCAGTTACCTAACACTTTGCCCATTGATAAGTCTTACCATTTTTGAAAACATTAGATTTCAGTTGGAATGCCTATCAGCCCTTGTTTGTGACCTCCCCCTTATAGCAGTTTGGTAGATATTATTTAGATTTTAAAGGATACAAGATATTTCTTTGGACGTCTCAATGAACTGTATATAATTTTTATAAACATTTTTCTTGAGTGCAATAGCAGTGTCTTCACTCAAAGCTTGGATTTGATTTCTATGTTCTTGCAACTCTGCATCGGTATCGCAAACCGACGATAAATCATGGACATCTGTGAAATAATGTACATAATACACTTAATAGAATATTAGGGCAATATCATGAAACAATTTCAATTTTTCTTACATTTTTCAGGACTAAATGCTGATGTAGAAAACATATTTGACAAGGAAGTTGTCTGATAGGTGTCATCCTCGGCCGCCATCTTTGTTTTCCTCCCAAAATGTAACATAGGGATCCCAAAAATAAACTAGAACTTCTATTAAAGATTCATAGATATTTGATAGTTGTACTAAATATAAAAGAAATAAGCATTTTTTCAGTGCTTTCAAATGATTGCCAACAGAGCTATCATATCCCGATAGATCCCGATTTAAAATTAGAAACGCACAGTACATAATATTTCTTGTTTTTGGATGGTTAGGCTGCTTGTGCATGTGTCAGCGGTTCTTATTRCAAAATCACGTGGTCTCGAACACACATGCTCAAAAAATCAAGATGGCGGTGAACATATACTGAAATGATATCGTCTTTTTCTTTACTTTATACCATCTAAATGTGAAAGGTGTTTTCCCCCATTTTRTCGTTATGTAATAGAAAAAACACTAAGCTAATCAGAACAGTTAAAGATGTTTCAATCTTCGCCTCAAGGAGCTCCCAAAGTCGGGCCCAAGCCTGGCATGCAAAATGCGGTTGAAGCAAATCCTTCAGACGAGCAGAGAATGTACGTGAATCGACAACCGTTGGTGTTTGATGGCAAACGAATGCGAAAACCAGTGGCACGAAAAACTATCGATTATAATTCTAGCGTAGTGAGATATCTAGAGGTAGGTTTTGCCGGCAAAACAGAAGTCGATTCCTGTTCGGCGCTGCTTTTTGAAATAAAACAAATCCCTAAACCCTGCTACATATACAACACCAAACTATCTTATTTTGATCTCCCTTGACGAAAATACTAACCTCTTCACTCCATAAACTCCTGMAAAATCGGTTGATTTATTCATTAAAAACGAAATCATTAAAATTTCAAAGCAYTTCGACCCAAGTGAACGAAATTTCAGGTTTTACCTTAAGWTTARAGAAATAAACGATTATTAAATGTAACGTAAAAAGTCCAAACCAAAGTTRTCTTTTTGATGCTTTGTGTTGGCATCCCTGACAATCAGTGAAAAATCAGAATTCACACACATCGCTGCATACTTCCCAGGCCCATGTGCYGTTKGTTGAGTCGGGAATGTTGGTGTTGAGTTGTAGAACAAAGTTGTCCAGGAAGGTTGAAGTCATGTGACTTCACTTTATATAAAATAAACTTGAAAGGTGTTTTTCTTTTTAAGGAACAGTTTATTTTGAAGGGAACTATAGAATAGTTCTAAATGCATGACATAAATGTTGCAAAAAGTGATAAAAGACAAAAAGAAAACATGAAACTAACCAAATAGTGTGAGGTGAAGTGGTGTTTCTTAATGAAATATTTCAAGAATATAAATGATTATAAGCCAGAAAAGAGAACATTCTGTTGTTTCGGACATTGCTTTCTATTTTTGTTTTMTATTTTTTGACTAGTTCATTGTAGGATGAGGTCACTCACRTTTACTATTGTTTGTTTTCTAATCTGGCTCAGACATCAATTCAGAGAAATATTAAACAACATGCTTAAGCATGAGTGTCATTTTGAAGGATTTTGACCATCAAAGTTTCATTTTTATTARTGTGAATTGCATGTTGGGTTTTTCTTATTGGATTTGTATTAACTATGTTCAGTAAATATGATTTAGAAAGTGTTTTTGATGTTTAATGCATACATCGTTGTTGTCATACCATTGTATATCATTATTATTAACGGCGACGTGTTAATAAGGGGTAGCTGCATTTATCAATGTTGCAAATGCTTAATAAGAGCAATAAGATAAGTGGATGGAGATAGTTGGAGTTTTGTGAAGGGTGATTGAGTAATCTTACCCATTCTTAAGATATCTGTGTAGACATAGCAGTGAAAAGACTTATTCATTTCAGAATCGCAAGTGGTTTAAAAGTTTAAATTCAAGACATACAATACAACCAGATGAATCTTATGCAACTGAGGTAAATTCAACAATGGTGATATTAGTATTGTGTTCAAGTGCTTTCATTGGATAC